GTTGCGCAGTTACGTCAGCTTCTGCAATACCGATTCAGCAGTACAAGAGATGTGAGTTAGTTCTGGAGGCTGAAAAACAAAAGCCATAGGATCGCCTGTTTGTTAAGCCCTTTGAAGAAACCAACAATACGACAGGGTGTACCGTCTTGGTCTCTTTCATCGGTTTTCGTACGACATACCCCGCAAAGTGGGGATGAGCCTAGTAGCCACGTGCTAAACACCTTCAAGCTTTTGCACCTCGTCACGGTGATCGGACAATAGGCTGGTGAGCCATTTTCGAGTGTTAGTCTTATTATAGGATAGACGTGGCAAGTGACAATCTTTTCATATCCATTGCTGCTTTCGAGCCTCCAAAACATGCACAACTCATTCCGGTGTAGCTTGTTTCTGTTGTCCAAGGACTTCAAATCGCAGTGTGAGAGTACACCTGGGTTCATTCACTGAAGATGTGGGTTGAAGTGGTTGGCCGGCCAGAGTGTTCGTACACTCATCACCACCCTTCCTTAGGCTCATAACTAGACTTGACTGGGTTGACCGGCAAGTCGACCTGTGCGGACCACCTGGACAGGCAGTCGAGGTATGCTAAAGTACGTCACATACACACCCTCTATTTGAAGAACGGGCTGTTATTACACCGTCTTTATCTGTGATTGAATCTTTGTTAAGCTATACATGTCACTGTGGTGAATTCCTAAACCTCCGACAAGTTGGGTACTATAGGTACAACATATACTATTGCATCGGCTGCCGAGCTCATACGGCTCTTCGGTGATTAGTGGAAGCTGACGTCATGGATATATTTGGGTGTTGCTCTTTTCAACACTGACACACCACGACCGCGGTTTCTCTTGGTTTAGACTTGTCAGGTGGTGATAGCCTGAGCTGGGGTGGAACTCAGAGCATAGTAGTTCATTGTTGACGCCCTCAACACTATGCTACTGAGATCCGCGAGCAACGTTTGGCACAGCGGAAAGTAATTCAAAACTGAATTTAGGGAGCACGCTGCGTGGTTGGATTGCGACTCGCAACCACTATTGAGACCTCGGCTCACTTTGAGGTAAACCTCGGTCATTCCGATCTCGAGGACCGTATCCTGTATGGATATATTTGGGTGTTGCTCTTTCCACACTGGCACACCACGACCGCGATTTCGTCTTGGTTTAGACTCGTCAGCTAGAGATAGCCTGAGCTGGGGTGGAGCTCAGTTTACCCCAAAGTGAGCCGAGGTCTCAATAGTGGTTGCGAGTCGCAACCCAACCACGTAGCGTGCTCCCTAAATTCAGTTTTGAATTACTTTCCGCTGTGCCAAACCTTGCTGGCGGATCTCAGTAGCATAGTGTTCAGGGCATCAGCCATGAGCTACTAAGCTCTGAGTTCCACCCCAGCTCAGGCTGTCTCCACCTGACGAGTCTAAACCAAGATGAAACCGCAGTTGTGGTGTGCCAGTGTTGAAAGAGCAACACCCAAATATATCCATTCAGGATACGGTCCTCGAGTTCGGAATGACCGAGGTTTATCTCAAAGTGAGCGGACGTCTCAATATAGGTTACGAGTCGCAACCTAACCGCGCAGCGTGCTCCCTAAATTCGGCTTTGAAGCTGACGTCATGTTAGACCAGTACCCCACATTTTGATTGCTTGATATGCTGGTCGATACCGGCGCTGTGCTTCAGCCTGTTCAACAAAAATTATGTGATTACCTGTTTCTCTTAAAGGCTACAATATCTGCGTCAGATGGACATCCGAGGCAGTCATATGTGTTGACTACCACCGTATAGTTAAAGAGAAAGGGACCAGTCCCGATCCTGGGCAACTCAGAGGGGGACGAATCAGTCACCACACGTTGGCTACATTGGGCTATTCGTTTTAGCATTCCGGGATCACAAATTTCTTGATGTTGTTTCACCTCGTACTCGCCTTTCATCATGCTGGTGTTTTCTGTGCATTACTACATGGTTTCAAAAGTTCCTGGTGCTTAGTTCCCATTCGCATCGCATTCTGATCTCACACCATCTCTTTTCCCATCCATAATTCACTGCTGGGACTGCATTGCAAGTATGCTTACTGATGTTACGTAGTAGTATTCTAGATGAAGCCATACTGTCTTTATTACACTCTGAATGCCTTAACTTGAGAAATCAAAAGTTTGCTTAATCACAGTGATCCCTGTCTTTTGTTCCTCGTAGCCTAATAAAAGCCATAGCAATCATTCGCAAATACTACTAATTTGGGATCTAGATGAGGATCTTGGATTACGGCTCCCATGGCAGTTAAAATGATGTTTGTTCAGTTCCGCAACGAGACTCTTGCAGACAAGCCACCCTGTTCAGTGGATAACTCAACATCAGAGTAAAACCGCTTCGTATCACTGACACTTGCTGTTTAGCTGTACTTCATATTTCAAGTCTTCGAAAGCGAATTGGTCCGCATTTCGGCAACTAAATAAATTCGATTTCATGATTTAACCCCTCACTCTGTCCGGACCAGACTTAGTGCGTATGAAATTAAAAAGCACGAGCCGCTATGATTAATTCCCTGGGTTGAACGCACTGTTTGAAGCCGGCTCTTTCATCTGCCTGATTGCTGGGCATCCGTCTAGGGATGTAGCCCGTGGCCATCGTCCAGGACCCTTTCATAGCTGCATCCCCACTACAACTTCGGATCAGCAGTACTTGAAGTTGGTTGGCCAGGAGCCAACCAACCGGATTGTGTGGCGGTCAGATTCAGGCAATGAAATAGTGCAGTGGCCACAGCCAACCCTTGATAGAATAACAAGATCTGTTAAATTCTGCAGCGAAGAAACATTGGGTGATATACGGCTATGTAATCAGAGCTAGTATGCTGGAATATAAGGCTGTCTCTTGCGCTGTGCTTGAGGCTTGTTGCAGAGGTTTTCTTTAGATATGGGAGGCAACTGGGCTGCAGTCCCCAAATGTTGTATTATGTCATCCGAAAGATGGATAGCAACACCAGAACGGTCTAGCCCACGCGTGTTACTGCTGATGATGTCCAAAGCGGTAAGCCTGTCGACTTTCGCAGTCGCACGCTCACGGAGGCCGAGTGTCGTTACGCACAAATCGAAAAGGCAATGTTGGCACTCGTTTACGCCGTATAACGCTTCAACAATCATACGTTCTGCTGCAAAACAACTGTCTTCATTGACCACATTCCACTGATATCTATCGCTAGTATGCCGCTCCATGTCGTTCCACGCCGTCTAAAAGGGTGTTCATTCGCTTGCAGAAGTATGACCTGGACATTGTCTGCCGACCAGGAGCGAAGATGCGCATTGCGGTCACGTTGTCAAGGGCGCACCTGTCAAACACACCGGAAAGGAAAGATGACCCGAATTTCGTCCACGCAACACGGCTACTCGCTATCACCGTGGAACGTTTGCAGCAGCTTCAACCGTGTATGGAGGAGGACGAACTGTGCAAGCTACTGAAGTAGACGATAAATAACAGATGTCCCAAAGACAAGAAAAAATTCCCAAACGTCTTAACTCCTTTCATTTTCGTGACGAACTCGTCTCCCGAGACGGATTAATATTCAAGAGCAACAGGATAGTAGTCCCGAAGGCACTGCAACGTTCATTGTTGGAGATGCAACACAATGCACATTCGGGAACCAACAATTGCGTGGCAAAGGCACGAGAGCTGATGTCCTGGCAAAGAATGACCAACCAAATACGTGCTTACGTATCCAAATGTTTGATATGCGTGACGCGCGATGTGCGCCAACCAAAAGAGCCGATGGTTCTTCGCTAGGTTCTATATAAGCTCTGGCATATTGTCGCACTGGATATTTTTGTTCATGACCGGAAGAGCTACTTGATTGTGCTCGACTATTTCCGTGACTACTACGACACTGATGGCCTTAAGATAACCTGCACTCAAGCCGTGGTGAACAAGTTACGGCGCCAATTCGTTCGGCATAGAATACGCGAGGTGGTGATTTTCGACAACGGGCCGCAGTTGAGTAGTGCAGCATTCTGCGCTTTTAGCAAGAAGTGGGATTTTCTGCATCGGCTCATTATCCCGTACCTCAGTCAATCAAATGGAAAAGCCGAATCAGCAGTGAAGGAAGCAAAGAAAGTGCTTACTAAAGCCAGGGAGACCCACGAGAATCCCTACATAATGTTGTTGGAGCGAATAAATACGCCGTATACCGAGATCGGATTAAGTCCGGTGCAACAACTATTCAGTCGCAGAACAAGAACGCTGCTACCGGCCGCTTCTGTGCACAACTGACTACAGAAGAGAATGATAAGACAGAAGTATTATGATTGTGGATCGTGACGGCCCCCCCCCCATCTCTAGCTGTAGGAGAAGTGTGGGTGCGACCAGTACCAGGAACAGAAGAACGTTGGCGGAAGGGAGTGATTGGGGCCCGCAGGAGTGAAAGGAGCTAAGAAGACAGGATAGTGAGCAATATTATTAGAGAGAATCGGGTGCAACTTAGGAGAGCACGTAATGGACGGATTCCAGAAAGCGAGTATCAGCAGCAAACCCTGAATTCTGCTGACGTTAGGTTGGTTCTAACCCTAATATAGCTACTTAAACCAAGAAAATGTACGCTCTTGAAGTCACTCTTATTCCACTAGGCGTATTCCTTCTCTGCTGTCTGCGACTGTTTGGTGTTTGCCGCCATTTCATTGTTGACCCTACTAAATCTGTGGGGGAATATTACCACCTTAGGAGGTTGATCGTCCGGTTACGAAATCCGGCTCCTCTCAGTAATACGATTGTCACTCGATTACTCCCGCTTCTGGGTCTAACTAGCTAGTCGTGTTCATTCCTTTTGCATCTCGCTTGGTTCCTTTTTCGATTGGAAATTGTGACCCTTTTTGTTTCGACTGGTCTTGTAACGTGTTCTACGACGCGGTTTTTTGTCACTTTTCAAATTCCAGTGAATGTTGTATTTCTTAATCTGTATGCATCGCATGCTGACGTTCCTCCTATCTCTACTTCGTTTTGACTCACGCGTGTTCTTTTTTCCTCAGTTGATAGCTGAGCCAAAGTCTCTTACTTCACCATGGAGACTCAGACCTTCATATTCTCCATTCCTCTTGGCAACACACAGGTTTGTACTTAGCTCTCCGCATTTATTCTCGCAGAAAATGTTACACTTTTATTTTATTCCATTGTGGCCCATTTCCTCACTTATTATCCGCTATAATGACTTTCCTATCCCTTGGACTCTGAATTAAACATTCTAATGAAGTGGAAGGTTACTGTTTAGCTGCACTCGCAGCGACCCGTTTGGCGGCTCATATAGCCCTCACGAGCGTCCACAACGAATGTACTCGTTTTCCAGTCACTCACTTTAAGCTTTGCGGAAGCAATTCAGAATATAACCTCATGACAGACGGGAAGGATGTGTTAAATTAACCAGGACGTGGGCGCACTTCATTGCCGCGAACAGGGTTTGAACTACTTTTCATGTAAAGGGTGGTTCTTTCTGTAATGAAGCCGGTGGTTGCGATTTAGTACTCGACTTTCGGAGCAAGTGTACACTCATTGTAGTTTGAAACATTGACCCTCACTGTTACGTGTTCACCTCAGTGAGAAGATATAAGCTGCGTTACCAGCATTTCTGTTGCTTTGTTCAATCACAAAGATATCACAAACGGCAAGTATGCGCAGTTATCGACTTTGAAGGTTTCGTAACACAAGTAGACATACGTACATCGGGCGTATGTAACATACTCAGATACAAGGCAACCAAACTGATCGCCTTATCTATTTCTCAGCCAACAACACCAGTTGCTTCCTCACGATTATTGTTGTTCCTTCAACTGCTACATTTTTGACTATTTCTCGCACCTGGACTCACTGAATGCGCTCGTCTGGTTTACACAATGTCCAGTTGTAATGACGGGCTTAGTGATGGGGGAGGAGGAGCTCCACTTCTACACATGGACTCAAATACCTTGTTGAACTATCGAGCGTTCTACTTTCTAGCTATCTTGTTTTGCCTTATCGCAGTCTATATCCTCTCTGCATGCAGGTATGTCGAAGTTCTCGTAATGCGTCTGGCGACTAACATGCTGTCCATCTCAAACGATTTTTTCTACTCACTTCTCCTCCGCTACACAGTTAAAAGTGTGGATTAAGCTTCATTTTTAAGTCAGACAATTTGACTGTACAGAAACATTAGTGGGGGCTGTGTTGTCACATTTTATTTGCTTGTCAACGCAAGAGTGCGGTAGGTGCATTGTTTGTGTAATCCTTAGACTGCTACTAGAACGTCCGTGTCTGAGCGGTTAACTTGCTTGTGTTAGCTGGAGGGAAGAATATACGTCACCCTTGACCTAGCCTATATTAAAATCGTTGTTCACTGCTTTACAGGTTGTTCATCAAAGCTAACAGCACCGTGAGTGGGTTTCATCCACTGCCTCTATAATAACGTAATCTTCAAATCAACCGTGTTTTGTTTCGTGTGGTAAGACGTCGACCGGAGCGAACTTCCGCATACCACGTTGATACGCACCACTGCGACTTCGCTCTTATCTTTCGATGGGTAGTTTGCGAGTCTCTGCGGCACAGGGTCACAGTGCTCTTTAGTGTTTTTGGCAACAGTTTATCGTCTTTCTCAATACGCCACTCCTTTTACCATGGGGTTGCGATTTCTGCGGCCGATTGTATGCAGGACGAAGTTTATTGCGCTTCTCTGTAGTAATTAGGCGTCAGCCAGGCGGTGTTTCATCTTTCTCTGGCAGAAACGGCTCTGTTCTTATCACACGTTACACCAATCACACTAACTTCATCCTTCTTGGCCTAGGTATACGTATGAATTTTCGCATTAAATATCGTGTAAACTTTTGGGAAGTATTCCCCTACTGTGAATCGGTAATAGTAGTTGCCACAACCTCTGAAAGTGCATTTAAAGTCACGTTGCTGCTGCAATCATCATCAGCGGACGCTTATAATGTGCTTTTAGAAGTTTATAGCCGACCTTCTGCCCACAGTTAGGAAGTAAATATCAGCCTTTGATTGCCAGCATCGAGCGCGTTGACCCCTTTGCCGATAGTGACCGCGGCTTATTGCTGCGTTAAGGATAGATTACAGTTTATGGCTGTCGGTACAGTCGCACTTAGAGACTGGATTTTCCGGCCGTGCTTATTAGCTCAAAGGATCCGGCACCATTGTGGCATCACTTTGATGAGTGCCAGAGATATGGATGTCTCGATACAAATCAAAGTCCTACTCTCTTCGGTGCTACCAGTTCAGAAGGCATTGAGCTTGGTTTTCTATTCTGTTGGCCAATTCATTACTTAAATTTCAAACATGCATGGTGAATTAACTGACAAAACGGCCACTTTACGTTCAGTCTCGTGACTGTAGCACATCAAACCAAAGGAAAGCGGCGAATTTCCTTACGAAACCAAGTGACCTCAACGACACCGGGGCACTTCACTATATACGGGTTTGTCTGATAGGTTTCGATCTATACCTGCAATTCAGCCATGACTAGTACCTTTTAACAACGCAATTGCGCAAGCATGCGAGCATTTTCTATCCAACATAAATTGTCGATTGGATAGCCAGACAAGAGTTACAGATGCTGGTGTTTCCTATATGCACATAAGTACCTTGTTGATAGGTGCTATTTACGGATAAATTGCGAGGATAGATCCAAACATATCGGACACACTGTAGATAGATTGGATCGTGATATCTGCATTAAAACTCACTGTTGTTGCAATGCATAACACTCACGAACCGCAATAAATATATTTGTTCATCCGAGGTTGTATGATGGATCTCAATATCGTGTGCGTGACGAATTGGCGCGGTGTTTTAGCTCATACATTAATAGCTAGCTTAGCTACGCAATTCTTCACCCTATTTGCCTTCAGAGCCCTCCTACTTACTACTCTAGGGGAGGAAGCAAGGGTCTCTCGTCAGTCAGCTATCGTGCGCAATTCGACGCTGATTTCGTGTTACCACATATGGAAAATGCAACTTTAACTGGCATCACAACTACCTATTCCAGCGCACTCTCACGAAGCCTGCCACCTATGACGCCTTTCGCTGCAACGTGACACTGTAGTTATTGCGCACATGAGGAGATTAAGCAGAAAAACTGAAGCTACCTGAACAGAAATGAAAATCTGCTGTTGCCGCCTGACAGCAATAGCATTTGTTTTCTGCTCACTTATAAAGGCACAAATTTCTCTGGCTATCCTTTCATATTAGTGGTGGCTGTTCTCCTGGTGGTGCACTACGCTAATTGTCAATGATCCGTAGCCATACAGGTGAGATTTTTTGGGCATATCGCTGCGTATCGTATTTTTCCACACGGACTGGGGTCACTTCCATGCCGAGAATCACGAAGATGGCGTAAAAACTGCTTGGAACTTTGAAAAACTGAGGAGATCCATCCGATGAGCCAACAACACTCGAGATAGGTGAATATCTCAATTCGGTTTAGAAATGCGTACAAGATGTAAGTCTACTAGAAAATCCAAAGTTTTTTTTACCTAGTGGCATCTAGCATCGTCCAATGAGCGACAGTAGTAACATCACCTGGCAAGGCCAACCTGCTGAGAGCGCATGCTATATTGTTTCCTGTTCGTCCATCTGAGCAACGTATTCAGCACCTGTTGCTGCTTATTGCTGGTACGATGCGTAAAATTGGTCGGCTTTTTGTGGTGGCATCAAAGGGTTCTTCCACGTACGTGTAGCACGACTTCATAGATGTACCTTGGATGGCTGTCTGAGTTATTGCAAAGGGAACCCTCTGTGTTACCATAGCGTAGATTTGGTGTGTACTTTTAGTTAAACGGAAAAATAGGCAAGTCTTTGCGCTAACTAACTACTTAAACTACCTAATCCGCTTACGGAGTTTACCTTTCCACGCAAGACAATCGTTCAGTTTTAGGTGGCATCCCATGCTTTACTGATTGATCACCGAATATCCGGTGGCGGAGCAGACAATTGTTGCTCATCCTCATAGGTTCCTTTTTGGTGTATACTGCTGCGCTGTCAGGTTATCACTAGTTTCCGTATATTATTCTCTAGAAGCTACAACGAGAATCACTACTCCGTTAGTACATGTTCATCTGAATGAGTGCCATAACACTAATCATTGAGTCTTCTAATAGTCCACGTGCTGATGTTCCATGCTTCCAAGCCTTTGTTTTAATTACCAACTTACCCATTCCCGGTGTTTATTCCATCGTATCCGTGGTTTCATGGTATTGTCTATGCTTCCCAGATTATTTCCACTTCGTCTGTCAATTGATCATCATCTTGCTATTTGAGTAGTCGTCTCAGCATGTTGCTGGACACATGCGACCGTTCCGCAATGTAGCGTTTGACGAGAAACGATGACTTGTTCCCTGTGATTATCATTTCCCCCTCAGGAAGCCGGAGTCTGTCCGGGTGATGTGCCCACCACATCTCTGTCGGCGAGCGATGAGCGTACAAAGCAGTTGCTGTCCAAAGACGATGCACCAAGTCAGCGTAATCATGAGGAAATCGTGAAGATCACGCGTCATCGCACCGAATCTTCAGATCAAAATGATGACACAGAGAACCCGGTGATGCAATGCTGTCTTTGTGGCGAGCTCACTCTGGAACGGTGCTTACTGTGCAAATGGGCTGCCTACTGCAGGTACTTATTTTTATGCGTACGACCTCCATGCATTCATTATAGAGTTCAAAAATGCCCTTTTTCGTCGTCGTTGTTGTTTTTGAACTTTGCACTGGTCTGTAAAGTTTTACGCTGCACACCGCGTTGTAGTACCATCTTCTCTATGAACAACTGCAGCCGGAATGCTCTACCATGGACGCAGTTCCATTTTGACCTGTTCGAGTTGTGGATATCTTTGACTGCGACCTGTGTCATTGTCTTGACTTGCTTCTTTACCTATACACATTTGAGTGTCTTCATAGCATCTCCGATTCATGAAGTGCTCCACTCAGTGTTTTCAATTCATCCGGTGGCCGAGTGGTCTGCGCGTCTGGTTTGCAACCATAAGGTCACCGGTTCGAATCCTTCATGTATTCCTTCATGTATTGCGGCACAATAGCGGAGGTGTTTTCCCACCTCTAGCTGATGTGTACAATGATGATGATGATGATGGTTCGAATCCGCGTAGGGGCGGGCGTCCTCGCCGTGTACTCAGCCCACGCGCGACTGGTGGTGGTCGCGTGGCAGCGAAGCGCCGTTACGGCGTATAGCTGGCGATTTACTTTACAATTCATCCTCTAAGTATGTCCGCGCACACTTCGTGTCTGTCGTTGTTCATCTGTAATTTAGTAACTTGAACATATCCGGAGAATGCAATAATATAGTCTACTTGTCAACCAAACTTGAAGCATTGACTTATTACTCACTCTTCCAGCCTCAGCGAAAAATCCAACCTCTAGGTTCATTACTCGCATGAGTTTGAAACTAGTGTTACTATGTCGAATTGAGTCATGGGTGAACCGAATGCCACTTGGAATCTTCTTTAATGCATCATGTATTCATCAATGTTTATTTGCTTACCTAACCGTCTGATGTTTCGGTTTACTTTATCAACTCACGCGAGATGATCCGTGGAACTTCGAGGCGTTGTCTGTCCCAGAGTCATAGTCGTTTGGAGTTTTCGACCGATGACAAAGCCCTATGAAACGAAAATATGCAACGCCATTTAGAACAGTCTGGCGTTGCTCCGGCTTTCACCAAACCCAGGCCAAAGGTATGCGATTACTGATAAACCAAGCAGTTAATACCTCTTCAGCTTGTTGCTTGATCATCCTCAGGAACATTCAGAAAACCAGTTCTGCGAGTCTTTTATCTCCCGATGGTTTCCTGAATCATCTTCATCCAGCTGGAAGGTTGGTGTGGCCCGCTCCAAAAGATCTGTGGCAGGAACTGACACAGTTTAGCTGAAGCAGCACGTGGACACTATGACCTCCTTCATTCGCTGTTAAATGACGAAAGTGCATCGTCTGGACAAGATTATATGACACTAAGCTAAGTTGTCTTCAGGCGGGTCGATGAGCATCGTCTCCATTCCTAAGGAATGTTTAATCTTGCTGTGTGGAACTCATGTAAGCGATAAATATAATGTAGTTTGCTTCCGTCTAGGAAGTATGACTAATGGTAATACGTAACAATGACCATCAGCTGTAAACCGTAACGGCGCTTCGCTGCCGTGCGACCACCACCAGTCGCGCGTCGACTGAGTATACCGCGAAGACGCACGCCCCTACTCGGATTCGAACCGCTGACCTTATGATTGCAAGCCAGGCGTGCAGAGCACTCGTCCATCGGCGGACAAGACTCATGAAGCACCGGTCGTAATCCGCATTGCCGTGAGTGCATTTGCTGTGTTTTCCACTGATCGTACAGATAACATGCTGTTGCGCAGTCTAGATCGACCGACTTCCCTCGGGCAAAACTTCCATTGAGCACCCGGCAAGCAGTATATGCAGTCAGAGAATGGAGTCAAATAAATAGTTCCTTTGGGAATGACGTATCTGTGAGTTCCTGGATTTCGGCAACTACTAGGTGCCTGATATCACACTTGTTAATTCCCGAAATAATGCGCTCACTGGCCTGCTTCATGGTAGATCATCCTCATTGGTAACCTCAAAGAGGAAACGTTCTCATCGGCTCGTTCTCAGTGCCTGGTCAATAGGTTTCAGGATGCGTCAGGGTCCAAGTGCTTCGGGATGCTAGCAAGAGGACCGGTCCTGAGGGTTACTATTGGCAGGCTTCCCTAACATTTTCCCTGCACAAATTTGACGTACGACTTCCCTCTTAGGTCAAACTACATTCGGATGACGGATCTCTGTAATTGATCACTCTTACGTCGTGGTTGCATGTTAGGATCCTCTGAAACCTCTGTGCGGGTTGCATCCGAAATGTTCCGAATATTCGATGGCATATCGAAACTGTTCAGTGGGATATCTAGCGGTTGTAGTTGATTACTTGTGCTTGCCGACATCCTAGTTGCTCGCAGCTTATTTGTATGCCTGGTTCAAATTAAAGTACCCACTCTGACCTCTAGTACCGGATCAATTTTCCTCCGGATCGATCCCGTCACCCACTTTTGTCTCCCCATTCTATAATATTTAGCCAAAACACGTTCTTGGTAAAATTGAAGTCTTTGCGTTCTGTGTCGTACGTCATAGAACATTTCCACTCGAGGCTTCCTTTCTTGCGGGAAAGTCGGCCTCGAAAGCAGCAAGGAATTTATAGTGCGAAGCTTTCTTCCCATTAATGACTCTGCTGGCGACAACTGATTTGGCACCTGGGTATTCGGGGTTTATCTATACACCAGCAGAAATGCATCCAGTACCTCTTGCGTAGTTCCTCTTCCCCTCAACTTCAGTAGCGATTGCTTAAATGTGTCAACGAAGTGTTCTGCTTGTCCATTTGACTGGAGATGAAACGGCGGCGAGCGTGGATTCGTGATGCCATTCCGTAGGCAAAATCGGTCAATTGGGAAGGGGAACTGAGAGTCATTATCGATCACTAGGGTTTTCGGCATCCCTTGCTGGCCGAAAACTCTTCTGAAAATATTAATTGTTACACCACATGTCATATGCTCTATGTAGAAAACCCCAAGCCACTTGTTGAAGGAGTCAACAACGATTTGATATTGCTGACCATTCATTGGACCAAATGAATCCGTGTGCACTCGTTTCAACGGCTTCGTTGCCAACGGCCAGGAAACTAGCTCTACTTTTCTGAGTGCCTTACTGACATTGATGCTTCTCGGACATGACTGCCAGTTGCTCGGATTCCAAATCAGAATTTGGCCAGTAAACGAAACTTCGCGCAATGCTTTCTTTCTGTTAATTCCCAGATGACCTCGATGAAATTGCTGGAGGACTCTCTGACAGCTCCTTGGGAATGATTATTCTTTCAACTAATAGTAGACACTCGTTATTGATTTATAACTCGTTTTTCTTCCGGTACAACATTTGCAACTTTCCGGCTTGATTACCATCGGCCACTGCATAATATTGAATTCTGCTGCCTGTCGTAAGATGAGATTTTGCGCAGTTGCATCATGAAGCATTTGGGACGTCACAGGAAGACTCCTAAAGATCCCCATCAATACTTGCTTCAATTCTGATTCGAGGGAGATGGTTGCAATTACAGATTCTTCATGCTGGTTCTGTCAATTTTCCAGTAGTCGGGAAAATGCATCCGCTTTACCGATGGCCTTAGTAGCCGTATACCTGACTAGAAAATCATAACCAAGCAGTGGGTTCGCGGTATAACCGGGCATGCCAGACGTCGATGAGAATATTGCTAAAAGTGGCTTGCGATCCGCAAATAAGGTAAACCTTCCATATGTCATATTGCGAAACTTCTTTATTACGAATACTATCGCCAAAGCCTCCTCTATCTGCTCGTAATTCCGTTCGCCTGGTGACAATGACCGGGCTGCATGTGAAATCGCTTTTTCTGGACCGTCCAATAGCTCAATATTCAACTGTGTATGATTGGATAAAAATCATTACAAGACCCACGAGATGCATACGCAAAGAACACTAAAACCAAAATGTTCCAACGTGGAATGTGTACTATCAGTGGTTAAACCATTGCATTTTATCAAACTCTTGTGTAGCGTTTATCACTAAGATGAAAGTCCAAGATTTTTTCGAATGTCGTCATGTCTGGTTCGTTCACCACATACCTTGGTAATGCGTTCCAGTGAGAACAGATTTTAAGCGAGTAAAAATACTTTCTTCAATTCAAACGGGAGTGTTGCGTCATTAGTTTCCGGTGGTTACCTCGGCATTGTTTGTAAGGGGTTAGGGTCAATAGTGATGTACATGGATGCTCGCTTTCAGTTAGTATCCGGTTTGTGAGAGTAAGATCTCCGCGAAGCCATCGGCATTCTGAGGAGAACACACCGAGTACACGAAGACGCGGTTCATAACTTAGACCGGGTAATCCATGCGCTTCCTCTGTGGCTCTTTGGGGTTGTTCCAATAGGCTAGTGTCTCCTTTTAATCATGGACACCAGGCGTGAATTGCATATTCAACGTAAAGACGAATATAGGAGTTAATCAGCATTGGTAATAGCCGTCGCTCAAAGGTGCCGAGAGCTCACCTCAACAGTCATAAGTTCAAGTTCGCCACACTTGCTGCTTTCGAAAATTGTAGGGAATTGCCAAGACTCTCTTGCACGATTATACCTAAGTCGCGTTCACTAGTCACGTGTTGCAAGACGTGTTACCCCAAAAGGTATGTGTTGACCAAGCTGCTGCGCACCGTCAGTAGGTGGCACTTTGCAGGGTTCAGTTGGAGCTGGTTGGCTACTGCCCATTCGTTAATCCGAGCCAGATCATCCTGAAGATAGACACGGTCGGATGCTGAGCGAATTGCTCTCTCTATTTTAGCATCGTCTGCTAATATTTGCATCGGGGATAGAATCTCTGCTGGAAGGTCATTAATGTAGACTAAAAACAATAGCGGAGTGAGGACAGATCTTTGCGCTACACTACTGGAGACACACAGGCTTTCAGAGTGCGTGTCGGCTACTCTTGCATTGATTGCTCTGTCGTGTACGTAGCTTTCCAACCAGGTGAGCAGGGAACCGTTGAAACCGTAGCTAGCAACCTTTTGGAGAAGAAGGAAGTGATTGACCCTGTCGAATGCTT